CGACAGAAAAGATCAGAAATGGACAAAAAACGTCCAAGAATGGACACAAAATGATCAAACGGTGGAGCAAAAGATCAGAAATGGACTAGTAACACCAATAAGCTAAATATTTGACAAAAGATCAGAAAAAGGGGGTAAAATTGCAAAGAAAGGTTAAAAGACGACAGAAAAGAGCAGAAACAGACAAAACGTCCGAAAATCGACAAAAAGATCAAAAGGTGGTGCAAAAGATCAGAAATTGACTAATAAGACCAATAATTCATTAGAAAATTAACTAAATATTTGACAAAAGATCAGAAACAGGGGAAAAGAATTGCATAAAAATGATAAAAGACGACAGAAAAGAGCAGAAAGGGACACAAAAAGATCAAAAGGTGGAGCAAAAGATCAGAAATTGACTGATAACACCAATAATTCATTAGAAAATGAGATAAATATTTTACAAAAGATCAGAAAAAGGGAAAAAATTGCATAAAATTATAAAAGATGACAGAAAAGAGAAGAAACAGACACAAAACATCCAGGAATGGACACAAAATTATCAAAAGGTGGAGAGAAAGAGCAGAAAATGACAAAAAAACTTCCGAAAATGGAAACAAAAAGATCAAAAGGTTGAGCAAAAGATCAGAAAATGACTAATAAGACCAATAATTCATTAGAAAATGAGCTAAATATTTGACAAAAGATAAGAAAAAAGGGGAAAATTTTGCATAAAATATGAGAGAAAAGAGCAGAAATGGACACAAAAAGATCAAAAGGTGGAGCAAAAGATCAAAAAATGACTAATAAGACCAATAATTCATTAGAAAATTAGCTAAATATTTGACAAAAGATCAGAAAAAGGTAAATAATTGGCATAAAATTATAAAAGATGACAGAAAAGAGCAGAAAATGAAAGAAAACACCCGAAAATGGACACAAAAAGATCAGAAGGTGGAGCAAAAGATCAAAAAATGATCAAAAATAGACTAATATCACCAATAATTGAATAGAAAATGAAATAAATATTGAACAGAAGATTAGAAAAAAGAGAAAATGATTGTAAATGACTAAAGACGACAATAAATGGACCAGAAATGGATATAAAACTACCAAAGGCTGGAGCAAAAGAGCAGAAAGGGACACAAAACGTCCAAGAATGGACACAAAATGATCAAAAGGTGGAGAGAAAGAGCAGGAAAATGGACAAATTGGTTGAAAAGATATTTAAAAAAAAGACAAAACTGAAAAAAGATCCATAAAAGACCAGTAAAGGATCAGAAATATACTAAAAACACCAATAATTAGATAGAAAAAGCACCTAAATAATCAATCAATTAAAAAAATGTAAAAACTGATCAGAAAAAAAGATAAAACAGAAATAAAACTTAAAAAATGGACACAAAAAGGCCAAAAAGCAGATTTAAAGCTGGAGATATTTCCACTTTCAGCCTTTTTACTGACATGAACTCAAACCGACATCCTGGAAAAATTCCTACACGGAAAAACGGGGCTTTGAATATCCAGAAAATTCCACATCCAGGATTTTCCTTTTTCCATTTCCCTCCGAGTCCAAATATCCCGATTTAGAACCCTCCACAGTTTGTCTTTAACTCACTGGTTAAAATAGTCACAATTATGCAGAATTATTCATTAATTGAGTTCAAATCTGAGCTTTTCTGCTTTCTTGGTGCTTCTGATCCTCATTTTGTCCTGAAATGGTGAAAAATTAAACTGATTTTTCTAAATCCTGCAGTCGATTCCTTAAAATGGAAGAATTAAATCTATTTTTAATCCATCTGAGCGTCTAAATTTTCATCTTTTGAGACGCCCATCATGATTTTTCTGCTCAGAACTGTAATTAAAGACGTC